GAATTTTGCAATTCCTATGTTTTGACACCACAATAGTTTGACAGAATGAATTCATTTTTAATGTGTCGATTGAAAAAAAAAACAACCGAATTTTGTGATAAACAGGTGTAGCTGATGAAACGGAACATAAGGTAACTGGTTAGTATCATCATATATCCATACTAACATTCTTACAGATCAAATACGGACTAAAATTTGATCAAGAAAGTGCTATATTTCTAAAATAGTGACTGCACAAAGAAACTTAAAGTTTTTGGAAACAGAATATTGAAGAAATAATAGGTAATCATGTGGTCCAAAAATCGATCAAAATTAATGTAAAGAGAATAACGAGTTCATTATGGATAACAATCAACAAAATCCCACATAAATATGACAAGGTGATAGTAATGTTTAGGAAAATTTACATAACTCACTTTTTTGGAATTGTACTGATGTTGAAAGCGACGATAAAAGCGTAATACACAGGCATGATTTTGAGATGGAGGAGATTTCTAACCCAACTGGTGGAGCTTCGTCCTTTGACCTTCATGGTTTATACGTTGGGCTTTCATTCTTCAGCTTAACAACATTATTAGCATCGATTTCATGTAAACGTGAAACATTTAAGTTTCACTACACATGACTGACAAACAGCTGGTCTTGTCGACCTCAGTCATTGATTCTTGATCCTAAATTTGTGCACTAATTTCCTGATTGGTTAAGAAATTGGATCGAATTCAATATGCTTGTTCATTGCTGATTGACCTAAGCTTCAGAAAATTCTCTGTAGTTCCTGATATTTCCACTATCCAAGATTTCTACATTTTTCCATTTGAATGTATGGCCAAATATGTCTATATGTGTCGACAAAAGTGTACAAATGATATCCAATAAAATAATACATAATCCTAAAAAAAGATTTGACAGTTATTATCTGCCATTCATGATTGAACATGAACATTTTCCATCAGTCTGATAACATAACACAGTCGACATTCATCTGTCAAAATGATAAACAAAATAGGATATTATATGAAAGACTTAGGTGATTGTTTTTGCATTTTCAAACAATAGACTTCGTATTACGTTGTTAATTGTTTACATACATAACGTTTACACAATGAATAAACTTGATTACTCAATTTAAACAAAATCTGAAGTAGGAAGATTTGTTGCAATATTTAGACAGCTAGAAAATAGGACAAAAGTATACTATGCGCACGACATTGAGCCAACCAACCACGAAACTGTTGTGCTACAAAACACCCAACGACTGGAATTTGTAAAATATCAGTGGAATAACAACGTTGATCTGAATAGTCAACCTTCATATTATTTATTGTAGTAGGGAAAAGAACTTTACCTAGCAGAAGTCAGACTTCGTTTATGAATTAGGGTTATCACTATATAGAGCTGTTGTCACCAAATGAGAACAGTCATAATGTGAAAGGGTTAGAGTTAGGTATTAAAAGTACAAAATGTCATCATCTCTAATTCAATGCTTTGTCATTCATTCTACTGCTTACAAAATTCGGAAACTTTTAGTTAGCATTTAGAATAAGAGTTAGAGTAGATGTTAGCCAACTTCACTAAACACTCTTAACAACTCATTCAATCTCAGTAGATAGTTTAAAACACAATTTACCGTGAGTGTAGTTATGTCTAGCAATTTAACTAAAGCACCAACTTAAATTCACTTTACGGTTTCATAACAGAAATTTCTAATGATTCCAAGCAGTTGGAGGACCATATTTTACCAATTGTTATTTCTCTAATAATTAACATGTGGGTTATATATCGTTGTAATTGAAATTTTGAACAAAATACATGAAGTACTATGTATTAATTCTGATCACTCAACTCAAAGTGGTCAGTATATTAAACTTTTGCCAAAATTATTAACTGATGTAGTATTTAAGCAGGATAATAATTGTGATAAACATTGAAGACAGAGAATACAGTTTAAAAAAGGGATAAAAATGACAAATACGTTAGTACTGAATAACATGAAAAGAAAATGAAAAAGGAAGATAATGAAAGTGTAAATTTGTCTCATTCCAAATGACTTCCAACCATGTAATCTAAGGACTTTAATTGTTCGTTAGAGGTAGTGATGAATTAGTGACTGAGAAAACGGAGTCCTTCACGAACTGGTGCTATTGATTTGTTATTGGTCTATTGTAGCTTTCTTTCAACCCACTCACTCCATAGCATGTTAAGATAAACTATACGTAATTGACTATATGTAATAAAATATCCTAACCAAAACAGTCAATGTTATATATGTGTATCACATTACAATACACTAATTTTAAAACGTTAATTCCACTTCAATCCAGTTGAAATCTATTCAATTAAAAAGATTTTTTGAAATTAACCTTTATAAATCGTCAATTCTAATTAACTTTACGTTTGATCTAATTCTACTTCAGAAATTATGCTTTCCTAAAACAACTTGAAAAATGTTGATTTTCTAACGGGATTTCAAATTAATCACATCGTTTTATTTATTTTATCCACTGTGTTTATATTCTTTAGAAAATATCTATTTATTCAACGGTATAATAAACAAGTATGATTGTTGATAATCAATATGTTCACTGGTTTTCAGTTAACAATGTATTTGAGTTTCTTATCTTTATCATTAATGTGAAATAAGTTCTTGTATGTAGTAGATAACTGTATCATGCTTGATATATAACATAGTCATGCCATATCTTGAAATGATTAAAAAGTTACACGTATACGCCACAAGAAACCAATTCTGTGGTTTAGAGGCTAAGCATTCATGCATAGAATTGAAGGTCCTCGGATATAGGGTTTTGAATGATCACTTCTGAGAAATGTTAAACTAGAACGAAACAGTTATCAATCGTTTGCTTATTTCCAATAGTGAGCTACTTAAAATGAAACTATAAAAGAAAGAAAAAAACTATGCACTAAATGATATATAGCTCCTCACTGATGGACTATTCGTCTGAAAAAAAAGAAACTTCGAATGTTCCACTTCTAGTCTAGAGATTTCCGGAATCGATCAAATGTCCAGTGACATCGTACTATAAAGAAGAACTAATGTGACTGTGAAAGTGACCTTAAGAATTTTTAACCAGCTATTGGCTAATCGAAATGTAGATAATATTATAAATGAATAAGTTATTACAAAAGACAAAAAAGACATTTCAAAAGCATGAAAATGTTTTACATCAATAATGAACTGATAAAGGTTCAAAATAGGTGTAGGAGTTAAATTTATCGATTAGTGTTTGAGTTAGAATGGAAGAATGCAATCACTTAGCTAGTTCTTTTATGTGGATTCTCAAAAGTGAATATAGATTACTATTACAAGTTCATGAATAAATTTCTAATAATAAATATATTTATAAAGATAACCTTTTTCTGAAGTCGGTTGTGTAATAATAATTCAACTTGATTTTAGTCCCTTCCTACAGTGGCATTTATCAAGTTTAAGTGTTTTTGTAGTTTAGTATTGGTAGATTTTACTCTGCTGTTTGTTACTGCAAATGGAAATTTGCCCAAAAATCCAATAGCCACTATATTAAAACCTATTGGTTCGTCAGAACAGTATAGCCGCATTACATATACCGTTTGTAATAGTGAAAACTATCCACATCCTAGTAATCCATTTCATGAACTGCAGATTCAGGTACTTAGCTTTGAACCATAATGTTTGTGAAAAATTTGATAATGTCATTTGATTCCCCAAAAACAAAATATTTGAAGCGATATGTGAACAAATGATCGTATAGCTAAATTTTCATTACTTTAAGTATTACACCGCTTCTCCTTATTCTTAGAAGTTGTCTGAATTTATAACCCATAAAGCCGTTAATGAAACTTGATCTAAAACAACCTTAAATAATTCATGAAATACTGAAGACATACATAGAAATAACTCACTTATTAGATATTTCGGTAATTGCCATGTTGGCTCCAAAGATAATACAGGACTAGGATGACTGTCAATGTTCTATATTGATGAAAAGTTCGAAAATATCCCTTTGTTATGGTTTCTTATACCTAACTTCGTGTTTAAATACTTACTATGAAACAGAGTAAGTGGGAAATCGTCTATACATAAGTGAAATAGTGAAGCATCTGAGGAGCATGACTTCTCAAGAGTTTCAGAATTTTTTTGCACAATAAAAATGGCCATAAATCCAGTGTATGTTTCATAAGTGTGGAGTGTTTTTCAAAATATTTCAATGACATTGTCAGCGAATCACATTGAACAGTAAAGTAAAATAAAATTGACTATTAAATTTCCTCACACACTTATTAAATTAACAAAAAATTCCAACAAACGAAAACCGGAAACCTAAATTTATTTAGTAATAAATTCTCTTGTTGTGATGCAGCAATTCATTTCCAAATTCAAAATCAATCGTTTAAAGCATAAATAGTTGTTATCAATTCGAAAATGTGAACAGATTCATTTCATCACTTGCTGCCAATCATCGATAGTAAGTTTATGGTTGAAACTGTATATTCCTCATCGGAATCTGCAGTAGTTGAATCTTATAATGTAGGTGAAAATATCCTTATTTCTTTTGTCTATTCACAAGCACTAAATATTGAACATATAAGTAAGTAAACAGTAGTCAACACCGAAAGATTTTATTTATTGTGGCTAGAGAAAAACAAAAGATTTTTCATATCGATATATCAATTTTCGAAACAGAAGAAAAAACAAAAAGAATATGTCATAATTTTGCATATTATATTATCCACGTTAAATAGAATGCACATAAAAAAAATGTACACATCATCATATTTATTGAACAATTAATCCTTAGTGAAACATTTATTTGTCTAGTAAATAGAATATGAGTCAATAAAATAAACTGAAATCTTTTTTGAAGATTTACTACTATTGCAAATTTATTTAAATATACGTAGAAAATAAAAAAATAAAAAGGGGAAAGAAATAGAAGAAAAGATAAAAATCAAGTAAATACTTCCTACTTGTTTGAAATATGCATACTTTTGTTTTCATCATTGTCAAAATTAATTAGGCATGAATTGGAATTGTTGTCATTTTTGGCTAATTGAAACAGGATTAATAAAAAAAAATGTAACAATGATCCAATGTACCAAAGTATACTTGCAATATTTTAAATAATAAAAAACATTGAATCAAAGTACATGATTCAATCAATTCACAGTATTTAATGAATCAATTCAAATTCAATGTGATGATTTCATTAAGTTTTCAATTTTATTCAACATTGAACTATTCATTATTAATCAATACAAAAGAAATTTTAATAAGTTATTAAATTTGCCTTCTGGATACATCTAATCACCTACATCTTCTTTACTGATATGGATTTTGTGTATGTGGTTACTAGAAGAGAAATAAACAATGTTGTAACTAATCAAGGATCCTAAACTAGAATGAAATGGACGTTCAGTGCTTCTAGGTATTAGATCGATTCATGATTTTAATGGTAATCAGGGATCAATCACAAATGTGTATTCAATCCATCTTTAAATAGTAACTAGCACGTTATAACTAACGTTATATAAAGATATGTGAGGGTTATTTCTGTCCAACTATGCATATTTTTGTACTTAACGTTTTGTATGCATATGAATTGTGGCCTTTCGGTATTGCCACATATATGTGAAGTAGTTAATTTTTCGTGACTAGTTTAGTGTACATTGTTTTTAATTCAATATGTAAAGTCGATTCAAAACTCTTAATTACGGTCACATAATTTGGTTGACTGTTCTTATGCAGAGAAAGCATTTATGTCTAATAAGACACTGGAATTTTCTATCTGTTTACAACTGTCACATTATTTGATAGTCGAACTGATCTGAAGTTGAGACTCCTTTTCTGTCTAAATTACGAGACAGTCCTCATTTCAGCTTGATCACAGTGCATGACGATCGGTTGCCCGCATGAAATATGTTAATAAAGATATCGATGATCGACTTCATATCATCAGTTAACTCTTTCCTCGATCACATAAAAGAGTACTGGATGACCACCACAAGCTCAATTAACGGTAATAACTAGCAGGGATTATGCTTATCTATAAAAATATTTATGAAGTAACTGTTTTTCTTTCTACGTCCTGACATAACACAGTTAATACGTCATTTCAAGAGAAGCCAACTTCCAAATATTTTTTTACATGATTACTTCTAGAGAGCTTACAATTCAGATGATTACTCAGCTGATAGCGATTTCTTTGTGGAATGTTCATTTCACATTTTCAGTTAGATTATCCAAAGCTAATATTTGTTGCAGTAATGAAGCTAGATTCTCCTTCTTCTTAGAAGACAATCTTTTACTTAAAAGAATAACAAACCGTAAAAGTTTGAGGAACACGCACGGTTGTGAACCATATTAAAAAGCCTTGTCGTATACTCACTGTCACGTAGAGTACCTCGAACCATTGACTAACAATTAAGGCACTTGGACCTACTTCTTTGCATATAAGTAAACAATTTAACGTCTTAGTAAAGTGACTGACACCTTGTGGCTTTCTATTAACATCGAACGTACTTAAGTGTACGACAAACATATTTCAAGCTCACCGTGATTTCCTTCACTCAATAGATAAATAGATAAATAAAGAGTACACGTTGTCTACACATACATTTAGGCTCCACTTACCGGTTGAAACTTATCAAAGCCAATTTCGAATTCTTCCCAACTTTGGAAATCTTTGACAAAGCATTTGGTATTGAATTAGAATGCCTAGGTCGACAAAAACCGTATTCAAGCTACACGATGCACTATTACTACTTGCTATAGGTAGGAAAAATTTATTTCGCTACAAAACGGAAGACAATCCATCAATCAAAATATGTCTTTTTTGAAATATCCAACACGTTCAAATTTCTATATACTGAAAAAAGCAAAGTAGTTTGCAAATAAGCAAACCCATTCATGTTATCTACATATAAAATGCACACCATCACGTCGTACCGACAACAGATGCCTTTATTGATACCGAAATACACAGTAAATTAAATTGTTTCTTTTCTTTTCAAATTGATAACAAATTACACAATATTTTAAAGAAAAGATAAGATAAATAATTTTTTCAAGTAGAAGAAATTTCCACAAGCAAGACAGGTGACCATCTTGTTCAGTTCAAGCAACAAAAAAAGAAAAAACAGTAGAAGATAAAGAGAATTTGAAATGACAATTTACTGATTCTAAGAATTTTTACGGCTTCTTCGATTACAGTCATTATTTTCAAACTTTGGATTGTGTCGAACAACTGACTCATCACCCGTAGAAGTAAACCAACCATCACCGTCAGCCGATCCCCATCCATGATCACTGCTTAGATCCCAGTCACAAGTTTCATTGGAATTCCAATTAGTATTTGACAATGGGGCTTCTAAATAACAGTATGAAATATTTCTTTACTTATATGATCATGTTTTAATTGCTTATTTCAAATAATTTAAATAGTTTTCATCCAATAAAATACACAAACTGAGTTACATGAAATATTCACCTGTGAATCCAATTAAATATTCAATTGAAATCACAAAGCGAAGAATGAAAAGAAAAATGGATTAGACACAAATGAATTAAACCCAGGAGAAAGCCTATAAACAATCAGGATAATGCTACCTCGTTTTATTGTCGGCATTCATGACAATGTCCACTATGAATCGATTCCTAAAGAACAAATAATCAATGCTGCTTTTTATGTTGAGATTTTTAAGTGTTTGAGTGAGTAGTAAATAATGAATGACTACCGTGCCAAGACATTTCACTAGAAAATAAATTAGTGATGTAGAGACAATAAGACGTGCGTAGTAAGAAAAAGCAACAACCGGACAGTTTGGTTTCTGAGAATTTCTAGGAGGATGTATATAATACATGAAACTGGTGAAAGATCAAGCGTAGTTTTGACAAATGAAATGTATTGCACAGTCAGTCAGTCAGTTGCAACGTAGAACTTCGTACGTATGTACATAAGTTCATGTTGCCATACCACATTATTAGCACAGAGACGCAAATATCTAATCAAATATCATAGTGATAAAGATGGTAGAGGTATTAATGTTATAATAAAGAAGACTAGGGTTTAAGATATTATTCAAAAAATATAATTCAGTGAGATAAGGTTAGAAAGAAAAAGGTAGAGGTGCTGGCTAATCCAGAAGATTAGGATTTGAGAGAGCTCAAAGAGTGGATGCACCTGCGCCATTGCAAACGATTTTGAGCCATGTCGTTCAAGGTCTCTAACCATTGATGACTTTCGTCTCGCGGACCCCAACCAGGTAGTCTACATCTACCAACATGACTCAGTCCACTTGTCAGTGACTTCATGGATTTCTGCCATGTTTTGGTCTGGCCGCCCCTAACTTTCTTCCAACCTACTCCTACACCACAAAACATAGCTCGTCGAGGCAGTCGGTGGTTAGGCATACGTAACACATGTCCCAACCACCTCAACTGATGAAGTTTCACCACTTCATCGATTGATCTGCCATCCTTACCTAGTACTCGTTTCCTAACGACAGCATTGCTTACTCGGCTGTCCCAAGATATACGAGCAATGCTTCTTAAACATCTATGATCGAATACTAGTAACCTACGAACATCTTCTACTCTTAACGGCCATGTTTCACAGCCATATAATAGAACGGAACGAACTGCTGCGCAGTACACCCGCCCTTTGGTTAGCGAACGGATATCACGCCTACGCCATAAGTGACGCAGGTTGGCAAAAGCCAATCGAGCTTTCTGTATCCGAGCTGAGATTTCGTCAGTCACCAGACCGTCAGCACTGATGAGACTCCCCAGATAAGTGAAGTGATCTACACGCTCGACTACTTCACACCCTATCACTAGTTCAGGTGCCGAAGCAACCCAGTCTTGAAGCAACATTTTGCATTTCGAGGGGGAAAACCGCATCCCGAACATGCTCGCATTGTTGCTTATGGTAGTCAGAAAACTCTGCATTTTGTCAGCGTCTTCACCGAATAGAACTATGTCATCGGCATATTCTAGATCATTAAGCGACTTTCCTGGTAGAAGGTCAACCCCTGAAAAATCTGACGAGCTTAATGTTAACTCTAAGAGGATGTCTACGACAAAGTTGAACAAGAATTGCACATGAGGTGAGGTCAACATAGCCCGAACATTGTGAAATAACATCGCTATAACCTTACTTTGCGTATATATTGGACAACTATGTATGAGACAAACAGCACGCATCAGAATGCTAATTAAGATGATTTTTAAAAAATGATAAAACAATCATATTTTCATACATCACAAAGTAATATAATGTCATCCTAAGCAGTACATATCCCTTCAACAGACAAGCTAATATCTCGCTTGCATCATAGATGAAATGGGCTAAAAAAAGTTCAAACTACAAATTTCGTTCACTACAAGTTCATATGTTTTCAGTTTCAGTAAGTTTACTAGAGATATCGTTATGTATGACTAGTCAATTAATATTCCCCCAAAAGCTTTGAATGCACTATTGAACAGATAACAGTGTTCATTTGTAATTTGACACAAGTGACTAAAATGATAGCAATGTCACGTAACAATCCAAATAATCCGTGCAACCTTTTTTCTAATCTAAACACAATTATCGGTACAAGAGGCCACCTAAATATTAATAAGCAGAATAAATCAAAGAATTTGTGTTTGTTTGTGGCCTGGCAGTCCGATGCCCAAACCGGACCAGGTGACTTTCTTAAAGAGGCCATTCACTGAGCTTTTGATCAACAAATCTAATCCACAAGGTAGTGTAGTAATGTGAGAAGACATGTAGTACCATGATAGCTGGTCACCAACAATAGTTTTGTATGCTATTTTTCTTTAGGATCCTGGATTGCACGTGCACAGTTAACTTGAAATAAGGATTTTTAAGCTCCCCTAGGATCCTCCGTACCCACCGAACCGGATTAAGCTTTGCTGGACACTCGCTCTTAATTCCATAAAATACACTCTCGCCACGAGAAGGCAGTGAGCAGGACTTCCCTGAAAGTGACTCAATACGCGTGGCCGTATGATGGCATTCGAAAAAGGAGAGTGAACCTTCTGCACTTTCGACCATACTGGGGCATTTGGTTGCCAGTAAAATATTTTCCAGTCAATGATATACAACTATCAGTCACATCAAATAATAAGCAACTGTTAGCACAATTATGATCATGATTGCTATCATTGTTAGTAATGAAAATAATCATCAGATGAATCAATGTCATCAGTTACTGAAACTGAAAATTCAACTGATCCAAACTATTTAAATTATGACATAAAAAGTCTACATACAACTCTATGTAGTAAGAGTTCACAAGTCTAAACGATGGTGAAATACTTGTGAAATATATATATAAACTTGATAATAGCAAAACGTTTTAATTACGTGATACTAATTACGAGATGAACAACAGAAATAGTCGAACCATGCTTACGACTCGACAGAAGACGTTAAAATCTCTTCATTTTTCCTTTATTGCATGGACTAAGAGCAATGCAACTAAAACGCGGTTATGATCAATCGTAGTTGCTACCTTTACGTGGCAGACAGGCTTGCCTATCATAATCAACTAACAGAGATATACTGGCTCAAACGTTTATTCTTTTAATATCCTACTATTCCAAGCAGGTCAGTTGGAGAACTGAAAAGACTAAAATTAGTAACTTAAGGTCTGAGAGTGAAGTCACACTGCCAAATGCACAAGTATTTAACAGCATTAAACTGTTTCCGTCAGAAAACCAACGTCCGCAGAGATGTTGCGTTCTGGTAGGAAAATTACGGATTTGGAAAAATATCAACTTTTAAAAAGTCACAGCTCACTATAACCCATAGATTTATCTCCGACAGTAATGTAATTTGAAATACGGGGCTAACGGAATACAAACTTGCCACAGTAGTTTCTTGCATCACCCGCGACGAGCAGTTGTTATTTGAGATTTGGAGTCAAGTTCACGGGCCCCCACAACTACTGCTAACTAAATTCATACAACTGTACCCAAGTCTACACCTACTATAGCTAAAAAAAATTTCAGTTAACTACTGTGAAAAATAGGCTAAAATCACATAATTTTGGTGAAGATTGTGGATATAACTTGTGTACAAATGTCAAATGAACTGTGATACGTTTATCACAGTTTTGTGAATAGTCAGATATCAATCTATTCTAGAATCAGCGAGCTATAAACTAATTTACTCCAATTTCTTATCACGTCCCATCAAGTCCATATTCTTTCCATAATACAAATATAACAAATATAACCATCTTATTAGATCATATTTAAAAAAAAACATTTATCGACCTATAGTCATATCAGTCATTTCTAATCATTCGGAGACCTGTATCAATAATAGTCTGATGGGCAAACGTCATTCGGTCACACTTTATATCACTACATCCATTAAACTCACTGAATTTAACGATTGAAATTCCATCTCTTGCATAATGAATTATCGCACACAAAACATATTAAATAAAACGAAGAGAACACTTTTCTTTTCGAAGATGGATCAAAGTAAATTACCTCTTGTGCCGCTTGCATCAAACGAATCAGTCCTATGTTGTAGATGTCGCTCGACGATCACTGAACCGGAACAATCTTGTCCATGATTACTAATGGGGAATAATTAAAAGAAATATGAAAAATTCAAACAATTCAAAAATTTTTGACCGAGATATTTGTGCAGACTAATTGATAAAAGTAATAGTCCGGCTGCCCATATTGTGGGAACATCAGTTGGATTAGCGTTGGTCATAGAAACAGCAGGATCCGGGAGACAATTGCTTGACAGGGACACGCAAGATCTTTCGATAAGAAGTTTGTTAAGTGTTGGCCGCGCTCTTCAAGTTACCTTACCTCCGGAGACGGAGATCCATAAAATAATGTTAGGTTTGACATTTTTAGGGTCGAGGTCGACCTTCCCTAACTCCTTCGTTCGTTGTGAGAAGGCATCACCGCAGATGCTGGTTGTTCGAGGGAAACGCCTTACTGCCGTCACGTCGCTCTACAGTCAGCAGTACGACCTCACCCTCAGACCTTGACTAGCTGATTTTAGTCTCATCGTTCTCCAATCGACCTTCCTGGCATGGTAGAACCTACAGGAACATATGTTCCAGCCAATATAGCTCGGTTCGATTATCACAATAGGCAACCCAACCACCACGTCAAGGTAGCATCTAAGGTCGGGGTACAAGTTAACTTATCACATATAAAGTCAAGATATCTTGCTATAGATGTTGTAGGCGTTATCTTGTAGAGTTAAATGGCTTTGTTTAAATTATGAAAACAATACACTTCCAAAGTCATTTTAACTAAATAAGAGACGGTTATCATCTCTAACAGTGGCAACAGTAGACAAGCCCAACCATCACGTCAAGAAAGCGGCTACGGTCAAGCATTTCGAGGGTGAGAACCGCAACCAGACCGAACTTGCATTGCTGACAAAGGTGAACAGAAGACTGTACATTTTGTCAGCGTAATGACCAAGTAGAACTATGTCATCGGGATATCCTAATTCAATAAGTGAATCTCCCAGTAAAAGTTCAACTCCTGAAAAGTGAGACGAAGATAGTGTCGTCTCTAAATGCAAGTCAATGACAAAGTTGAGTAAGAATAAGGAAAGTGAACAACCCTGCCGAACACCACTTGAAGTAATAAGTCTCGAACCTGGAACTCAAAACAACTATCTACCAACAACAAAATCAAAATTTCCAATACCAATGTATGGGGTGGAAACTTGGAGAACCACGAAAGACATCATCCACAAGATACAGGTATTTATTAACTCGTTCTAGGAGAAGACCAGTGTCCGTTTCTCTTTCTCCTGCTGATCGACTTGATCATGAAGACATCAATATCTGGAGCAAATCACGGAGCACAGTGGACAGCCAGGACGCAGCTGGACAATCTGGACTTCACAGATGAAATGGCTCTTCTATCACACACGCAACAACAAGTACAAGAGAAGACAACCAGTGTAGCAGCAGCTTCAGCAGCAGTAGGTATCAACATATATAAAGGGTAACGCAGGATTTTCTGATACAACACAACATGTACCAACCTAATCAAACTTGTCGGTGAAGCTTTGGAAGATGTAAAACTTTTACATATCTGGGCAGCATCCTTGATGAGCGAGGTGGGGTCTCACTCAGATGTGAAGGCGTGGGTCGGCAAAGCAATAAAAGCATTTCTACAACTGAACAACATCTGGAACTCAAAAAAACTATCAACAAACATCAAGGTCAGAATTTGCAACACGAATGTCACGACATTTCTACTGTATGGGGTGGAAACTTGGAAAACCACGAAAGCCATCATCCACAAGATACAAGTGTTCATTAACAGTTGTCTACGCAAAATACTTCGGATCCGTTGATCAGACACCATCAGCAACAACCTAAAGAATCAGACTCCAATGGAGGAGCAAATCAGGAAGAAGCGCTAGAAGTGGACAGGACACACATTGCGAAAAGCACCCAACTGCGTCAAAAGACAAGCCCTCACCTGGAACCCTCATTGTCAAGGGAAAAGAGGAAGGTCAAGGAACACATTACGCCGAGAAACGGAGACAGACATGAGAAGAATGAACAAAAATAGGACGGAACTGCGAAGGGAAGCCCAGGACAGAGAAGCCTGGAAAATGCTGGTCGGTGGCCTCAACCACATAAAATTTTACTACTTGATATGCTTGCAGCTATTACGAGTTCACCTTACTCGGTAAATGGCAAGCACACAAATCAAGCTTATTTAAACAATGACTGAAATGACTTTGGTGAGAGCCACAAAGCAGCGTACTAGAATAATCCATCAACCAATGACAGTCAAGGATTTTTCGAGTGGGAAACGTAAGCTGTAGGCCAAATCAGTGTCTCTTGGAGCAAAAACATAGAAATTCAAAATTTCAGAAATACATTACAAAATTAGGACTTTTTCCAATTGAGTTCTGGGGATCAAACGTCCCCAACAACCAAAATACTACCACTAACTCGAGACACTCCTATTTGAACTCACCACAGATCTATGATAACTACACAAACGTCTACTATCAAGTGATGACATTCAATATATATATATATATATATATATATATATATATATATATATATATATATATATAACATATATATGTCAAAATCTACCTGAAGCGAGTAGACCCATATGATTTGTCGAAATTTCCAGTAGACAAATCTGACTCAGGATTACTAGCCCAATATGATTCAAGACTTCGAATTCCCTGAGTTTTCACTGTTTGAAACTGGGAAGGTAAATCAAAGAAATATTTATAGGTCTTGCGAAATATTTGAAAAAAAAACTCACTAGCATTAAAAAAAACCCAGAATCCAGGACAGAGTATGTAGGTGTCTTTACTAGATGACCATGTTTCACAAGCAATAAAGGGTATAAGTAAGTAAATGTAATCACTCTACCAACTAAATCTATGAATTCGATGTTAGGTCGTAACGTCCCTAACTGTAACACTGTTGTTAATGAGTGTAATTAACACGAAAGATAAGTCTAGAGTTACTTCCTAATTATCTCTCACTACCTAAAATCAAACCATTTTGTGTGTGATAATATTGAGTCACTTAGACGGTGAAACTGTAAGGTATTGACCACTTTGAGCATCTCGACAAGTGACCTTGGAACCGTTTGTAAAACTAGAGATAGCTCTTTAGTCATAACTACATGATTAGTTGTTAAAAAACAGGTGGTTATTATAAACAAGGACCCGATGGTGATAACCGTTAACTCGTAACATAGATATATGCTTTCGAATAATTCAGATAAAAGTTAATCGCTAGTTGCATATACAACATAAAATTAAGTTTTCCGTACTTTTTTTTCCTAAATATTGAGTAATTTAACCTTTCTACGAACTAAATAGAAACAATTTTGCAGAAACCTTAATAGACTCCAAGCTATTACGTTTAGGTCGATTAGTATAGATTTTCTTACTATCATTAATTCAATTAGTTTGTTTTCTTCAAAATAACAAAGAAATTATGTATGAATCAGTATTTAGATGTGATGAATTCACATTTTATTAAACTTTATTCTGTTTAATTTATTCACTTTCATTGTTATTCAATAAATGATACAATATTTTCAACAACAAAAAATGGCAATAAATTAACTTTAATTTTACATAGAATAATTAAAAATAATTGACCTGTGATTAATACGTATCTAATGAATTTTGAAAGTAGTTTATTCAAATTATTATATAAATAGGATCAAAATTTTACCACATCTAAAAGTCACTAAAATAATAGAACCATATAACATACATATACACTCTAACTCTACAACAAATGTACATTAACAAGAATACACTACTAATACTACTGCCTACGACTAACCTTTGAAGTGACTGTATCGACACCTTTTGATAATGAATCCAAAATATTGCTATCTTTAACCTTTTTTGTGTAAAAAAAAATACATCAATGAGAAGTAGACAACACTGATTATTTGACGATGACAACAACAGTATGATTAAAATGGAAAATATTTAAAAAGATGGATAGTTTTAATGGTCAGTGTGATTCAGTAAATTCAGTAAATATACACGTTTGTGTACGGTCAGGACGGTCAGGAATGCACACTTTGGGTCGAGGTTAGTGGGCAAGAGTTGAGAAAACATTTAACATAGGAAGTTTGCTTTTGATATGTCTTCCAAATGAATGCACGATCCGATGTTCTAACCGCTTCCAGTAAATCTAACCATACGAAACTTAATAACGGTATGAGTAAGTAGCCAATCAGAAATGTGAAACGTAACTCTTCACTTTTCAGATAATTGTGAAGCGTTTCTATTTGACGCTGACTAGAACAAATGTTTCCGATATTTCCCGGGTCCCTAAGAACTTTTTCGATGAATACTTTGTAACTGCGTCGACAGTGCTTTCGAGTAATACATATTACATAACGTACATAATAGTATGTATAATTGCAGCTCAATCATTCATATACTTGGAATTCAGCCGTTGCAACACATTTTAGTCTAATAACTAAGATTTAAGCAGCCAGACAATATGGTAAATTTAGATGCAGTGACTAAGGATCCACAACATGGTGCACTAAATCAGAAAAGGATAAACTAAGCTATTATTATTACTATTCCAGTGTTCCATTTATCCCCCTCCTGGGCAAATATAAACATGCGTTTACCCCAAATGACTCAGTGGAGCCTAGAGTACGGAAAGTCCGCTCCTCTTCTCTTAATACTCTTATATAGACAAGAGTATATAACTAGTACTAGAAAAACCCTGCTTACTGTCATCTGACGGTGGGGATGCTATTCACGAGATTGAGAGGACATAAAACGAATGCCAGGCAAGGTTTAAACACGGCCGGTCGGTGTGGAGGACCCATCTAGGGAAGTTGGAAAAACCTGATTCCAAACAAATGGCATATGAACCAGTGATCGATCAGCAGCTTTGATGAAACTGCATCTCTTCACGTTACTTCACTGCCGTGTGGATTGGATGTGCAGGTCAAAGGCTTGGGGGTTGGTCCGGTAAGGAAACCATCAGGTTTGGTCTGGGTAAACGGAAAATATCCCACCCCACATAAAAACCCGCTGATTTGTACGGGACATAAAAATTTAGGTGCCTCTTTTTACCAATAATTATGTGATTAAACCTATGTTTGCATGAAAATTAATTTAACAGTCGAAAATAACAAAATAAACTTATTTTGCTTATTTTCACTTTAGTACTTAAATAAGACAACAGAAAGTTCAAATAAAATTTTAACAACAATACGGATATGAACTTTAAGACAATTCAGACGACAAATAAAAACACAACAATATCGATCACATGTGTATCAATCACTACTTATATATGTCTGTGTTCACTGTCTACTGTGAAATTAAATTGTATTCATTCATCCATAAAATTTCATTAAACTTTTGTGTACTTTTTTAAAATAACTCACCTTTTCCTGAACCGATTGAGTTAGTTCTTTGGTTTTTTGTGTTGCTTGAAATGCTAATTGACTAGTACGTTTAGCAGCTACTGAAGCCACTTGACTAACCATTGCCCAACCCTAATTCAAAGTAAAACAGCGATTTATGAATGAAGTAATTATCTCGAAATCAGGTTTCGAAATTTTTTTTCGCTTGAATTATCCTTTTAGTCACAATGTACCGCTTTTAACATTGTTACGTAAGTTGCCATCGGCTTGTTTAGATCCCAGTAGCAATGATCGAGAGGTGTTAAACAACAAAATAATTACCAAAGAAGATTCGCGAAGATAGTTGAATTTCATAGTTTGTATTACAAACCAATATTAACTAAGGAGTCATATACTAGCATAAAACAACTATTCACTGCTTCATGAATTTTAATGGTTGTCTGGGATAATAATCACTGTATTCACTAGGGAACTAATAAAAAATACTTCTCAGAGTTCTAATGAGAAACTTCGAACAATGAATTTTATGATGATGGAAGTTACGCACAAATAGTACTGGAAGATAGGTGCGTAATATTGCGAAGTGATTGAAGTTAAACATAAACCATTGGGTCCCAATTCAGTGGTCGAATGAAGAAATGCTCGTCAGGAAGGTTCAAGGTTCTATGCCTATTGGGGTCGCGAATGCACTTAACTGGAGAATTCCACACTACAACGAAACATCTATCAAAAGCTTCCTGATTTTCAACGGTTAGCTGATCATGACCAGTTCGTGATGTGAACTATGAAACAAAATAAGGCCTTTCAACACAGATCGGTGAAAAAATTTTAGTAGATAACAAACATAAAATAACACAATGTAGTATTAGGTAAGAACTAAGTAAACAAGGAAACGGGAATGAATGCTCTTACAATGGCATCACGATTTCAAACAGGGATGCAACAACTTATTAACTGTTCAAATTAATTAAGTTACATTTCTGGCTTTTGATTTTACGTCAGGCTACTTAATAAGTAGTAAGTAGTCTAGGCTACGATACGTGATTTCAATGACTTGTTGTGACGTGTTGGTTTTGTTGCAATAACGATGTATCCTCCTTATTAACATTTTGGTTTACATTTTCATTCATAAGGGCACTGTCTTCTCTTACGATTTATATTTTCGTGAGACGATGATTACCTTGCACCGTATGTCTATTTTTTTAACGTAAATTATTATCTTCGAAAATCGTTATAATTGACATCGTATACAAAGAATAGTCATTTTTCAAAATTTTAGACACATTTTTGCTTTAAATGCAATCGGGACGACATAGACTATGTCCATATACCTAAAAGTCCGGTGTGTGCAAATTTTCAGTGTTTATTTCATTTCCCATAATAGATAAATTTCACCTGATTTCAGAATTTTTACATATAAGTCGGTTTTTCGGTCAGAGATTGTGTAAGGACTTCAGAGTAATTACATGCATCCTGCTCAGCATACTATTAATAAAGTAGAAATAACCCTGGCTGATGTCAGTTAGTCATGAGTAACGTAGAAACCTGACATACATCAATCAGACTGCCACACTGTTAGGATATTTGATGAATATCCTGAAGAAATTATTTTGTAAGTTCGTTGATCGATTCCTATCGGTCAACATTTAAGGTCGTCCTAAACTATCAAGTACACATACTTTTAAATGTTGTTTCCTATTGGTTAGTATTAAAGGTCGACCTAATTGTATAAATAAGCATTGCGGAGCATAGACTACCTACCAGGATTCTCCGACCGACTCTATCGTAGGCTCTCCTTTCCAGTTGTTGCATGTGCTATTCATTCTTTTGATATCTGCCTTCAATCCCCGGAGCAATATGTTTCTTGATTTTCCTCTTTATCTTTGCCTTGAGAATTACAAATTAGGGCTTGCTTTATGATGCAGTTTTGAAACTTTGCAATGTGTGTCCTATCCATATCCAGAAATTTTCCCTAATTTCGTCCTCAGCTGGTCTATTGTACACTTAATGTTTTTAATATATGCGGGTGATGCTCTGAAGGAATGTATAATCAAATTTTAGTAAACTATATTTATTTTTAAAGATCATGTTTCACAGACATGGAGTAGAACAGAGTTAACTGCTGACCTGTAGACTCGTCCTTAGGTTATCAGATATATGTCCATATATCGCCGGATATCAATACATCAGGACTGATGGCACTTTCAAGATAAATGACGTGGTCTATAACCCCAGCTAATTTACTTCTGAATCCTAGTTCGGGAGCTCATACAGACTGATCCTAAACGGAAATTTCTCATTTCGATAGAGAAACGCACCTCATATATGGTAGCATTGCTGTTCAACGTTACCAGAAGACTGAAATTTGTGATTGTCCAGACCAAACAGAACCCTGTCATCTGTTTATTCAAACTCACAGCTAAAGTCATGGTAATAGCCCAGTTTAAGAAACATATGCTTCATGAGTTAACACAAAATAATGATAAAATGCACAAAAAACATACCGACTGCCATGAGTACTGATCATATCTTCCAGGTACCAATGAATAATGTCTCGAAGAAGAGTCCTTATATTCACTATTATCATTCATGGACCCACAGCTAAGATACAAGAAAGTAAATAAGATATTTAGAAGCTGAGAGTGACAGAAGACAAGCAGAGCGATGAGATATTTATTTTCCAGTATTCTTTCATCACATATATATATATATATATATATATATATATATATATATATATATGCATTTTATTCGATAGCCAAATAGACTTTCTCATCCACCCTTTTCATGTTGCTCAAGTCGCCAGGTTGGGAGGTTAGCAAATACCATGTCCAGATCTCGAACATCACCCATCATGACATTTAGTTTATAATCCTAGTAAACATTCGACACAATGTGTATATCAAAAGTTACAAAGTATAAGCGGATGAGCAACTACAGAAAAATACAAAAAGTTCAACTTTTTATTGATTTTGATATAGATTATTTTAACACCAAAGTTCCTAGGTTGATTCTTTCACTTCATCTAATGATGTCGAAAATGTTTATTGCCAAGTAGATTGCTAGCAGTTCTCCCGTTACAAGGTACCCCTTTCGTTATATAATGTTACACTGTCTGTTTTAGATCAGTGTTGTCGTAAGACACTTTCGTCAAGTCAGCGTATTCGTTTAGAAGCGATTTATATGTATCGTTTTTGACTCTCGACACTACTAAATTCATAGACACGTGTTCGGTGATTATTCCTCTTATCACCAATAAACAGTCTCTGCTCAAAAGCTGGTTTCGTCGAGAATCTACTAATAAGTCGAAATTCTTCAAGAAATCAATACCGATTATAGGTACAGATACGTCTGCTATCACAAACTCCCATCGAAGCGGTTGTTGTCGCAGCCATTACCGGCAACCGGCGGGACCGTTTCCCTGTTGTACTATTTTGAAGCCGCATGGTGGTCTGCACTTTCTGGCTTGGTTGCCATGAGTCTGGTGATATCAGCATATTGTAGGTCCTGCGCGTCTCCGTGAGCGTGATCGACATTTGTCGTGCGACCTACTTCGCGATCGTCTTTTCAGTCTCTCGTTCAAATACAGCCCGGAAAGTTTTTGAGATAAATTCTTAATCTCTTTTCTTAACTCTTCGATTTCAGAATTAGCCGAGGTGTGTTGTATCTGTGGTCTCGGTGTTTTGGTTCTTTCCTGAATCCTATCAGCAATCTCTGCTATATGATCTATGTCGATATCTGCATCTCCGAATGCAAGGATCTGCTGAATATTTGGGGGAGTCGCCGGAGCCACAGCTGATAAAATATGCTGCTGTCTATTTTCCTGTCTCCGATTATGCTTCTCATATGATTTTTTAACTGTGATGGAGTCCTATCACCTAGTTCAACTTGGTTAAGAAGTCGGTCTAGGGCCTGTTGGTCGCTTAGCGAGACGGCATTTATCACAGCCGCTTTTAATACGTCGTATGGCGTTTCTATGTCTGGTTTGGCAAGAACCTCGCGTACAGTGTCTGCTACTTCGTCCGGAAGCAATGCACATGCATGGCTGAATTTGTCTCGTTGTAAGCTAATACGGTTAACTGAGAAGTAACTTTCAAGTCTAATAAACCAAAGTTGTGGGTCAGTGACACTAAACAGAGGAATATTAATATTAAGGGACCTCACGGACGCCACTTCTGGCAGACTTGTTTCGTAAACTGAATAAATAGTACACAAATAAATTAACGAATATAAGGGGAGGAAATTAGGTAGACGATAATAATGTTAACAACAATTAATAAAAGGTTATAACACGGAACAGACATACTAAAGTGCAGCAGTAAAACAGTTTTATGTACAGTGACGTAATTCGTGATTGTTAATATTGTCAAAATATGTCAAATAATGCTTATGAAATAATTGACATGCAATAAAAATATGATAATGGTAATAATCCACAACGGTAATTCGTATCGAAATAGTTAGTGTCAGTAATATTGCGGACGCGTTCGATTCGTTGTAGTTTTTGATCTGTCGTCGATATCAGCAAATTAATCCTGGGAGCGTCGGGCTAACCAAATTTGTGGTGGCCAGTTTCAACGTGTTCTTAAGCTTCGTAATTCCTTCGTCTAGGCAATCAGCAACAAAAAACGCCTGACGGTTAAATATCAGAAGACAAATACAAGTCTAAAATTCTACACCCACTAACATGGCTCAGTCCAATTGTCATTGACTTCATGGATTTGTGCCTTGTGTTCGTTTGGCCGCCCCTAGCCTACTTTCAGCCTATCCCTACATCACAAAACATCGCTTGTCGAGGCAAATAATGGTTAGGCATTCGTAACACATGCCCCAACCACCTCAACTGATGAACATTCCTTTCTTCATCTATTGATCTGCCATCCTTACGTAGGACCCGGTTCCTAACAACTGCATCGATTTTCCCGGGATATAAAAGCAATTTTTCGGTGACACCTATGATCAAATAATAGTAACCTACGAATATCTTCTACTCTTACTGGCCATGTTTCGCATCCATATGATAGGAAGGAGCGGACTGCTCCGCAGTAGACTCGACCTTTGGTTAGCAAACGGATATGTCACCTACGCCATAAATGATGCAAGTTGGCAAAAGCCAATCGAGCCTTCTGTATGCGCGTTTAGATTTCGTCAGACACCATGCCATCAGCGCTGATGAGACTCCCAAGATCAGTGAAGTGGTATACACGCTCAACTACTTCACTCCCTATCACTAGTTCAGGTGCCGATGCAACCCAATCCTAAAGCATCACTTAGCATTTCGACAGGGAGAATCGCATTCCGAACATGCTAGCATTGTTGCCTAAGGTGTTCAAAAGACTACATTTTCTCAGAGTCTTCACCATATAGAACAATATCAGTGGTGTATCCTAACTCAACAAGTGGATCTCCCGGTAAAAGTTCAACTCCTGGACAGTCAGACGATGAAAGTGTTGTCTATAAAAGCATGTCAGTGACAAAGTTGAATAGGAACGGAGTAAGTGGACGGCCCAGACGGACACCATTCGAGATAATCGATTCCGACAACTATTCGCCATACGTTTTGACTCGACTAGTAGTTTTCGAGTAGAAGTTAACGTACTTTCTTGGTACTTCTTTAAATGACAGACACTGTCACAGAACATCACGAGTCAAGGGATACAACTATCGTCAGGTGTCCGAATGTGTGCCCATGTTCCAGGGCCTGACAAAGTGTAAATATCCGGTCTATACATCCACTTCCAGGTCTGAATCCGGACCGGTTTTTTCGAGTCTGCTCTTCATAAGATCTAGTTAGGCGTCTAAGTATAATCGAGGCTAACAATTGAGAAACTATATTAGTTAGACTTATTCCCCTGTCATTGTCACAAGAAGAATGAATAGTAGGAGTGGTAGTGATGGTTTTAGAAATCGTTCATTTGAAATCTACTTGAGGTGTTTTTTGTATCAACTAGAGAATCGAAATCAAGAATATTCGCATCGTGTGATCATAGTAATGTTTTTTCCTGTTAAACAGTTAAAAAAGTCAATACAACCTTTCTTAAAATGTCTGAAATTGATTAAGCGCTTTACAGTCGCTTGGTTACCAGTTAGTCTATCTCGCAGTCTAGACTATATTGAGATACAAGCTGAAAGCTATCATATGCTTAAATAAAGAGTAAACATTCAGGTAAAAGAATTGAAAATTAACATACTCAGCCCACTCTGGAACTTTATTATAACGTGTATCTGTAGAAGCGGTATTAGTTTCTGATGTCGTAGATGAGCTACGCTCTTCCGACAAGGTTGTATTCCTTAACCAGGACTCCAAATCTGAATGACAATTGGTCATTTTGTTTAGTCCAGGATGATAGTCAGAATTTTGATAATCATTATTATTATTGTTATGAAGGTTTCGTCTATCTGAAGATAAGGATGGCAGATCACTGGTTGTTTTTACATGACTTATACTGACAGATTTATTATTACGTGCATTAGCGGCTTCCTCATCCCATTCCTCACCGGACGCTTCAGTTGCAATCTGTATAAATAAAATGTAGTAAAGGTAACAGTGCGCTAACGTACATGTTCGTGCTCTACAATATAAATCACATCTAACAGATGAGGGTGGGAGATTATACCCAAGGTACATTGGAAAAATTTGAACAAACAAAACATGATTCAGATTTGTAAACCAAAAGATTGAAATTATTATTATTATTATTATTATTATTATTATTATTATTATTATTATTATTATTAAAGATATTATTCCAGAAGTGGAATATAGTGAAATAAACTTAAAAAGATAAAGTGATAAACAATAAAAAAATTTTAGGATTTGAGAGAATACAAAGAATGGATGCACCTGCACCATTGCAAAGGATTTTGAGCCACGTCTTTGAAGGTCTCTAACCATCAGTTACTATCGTCTCGCGGACCCCAACAAGGTAGTCTATACGTACTAACACAATTCAGTCCACTCGTCAGTGAATTCATGGATTTGTGCCATGTTTTCGTTTGGCCGCCCCTAGCTTCCCTCCAACCTACTCTTACATCACAAAACATTGCTCGTCAAGGCAGTCAGTGGGTACACATGTCCCAACCACATCAACTGATGGAATTTCAATACTTCATCTACTAATCTGCCATCCCTACCTAGTACTCGTTTCCTAACTAAAGCATTGCCTACTCGGTTGTCCCACGATACACGCCACTGCAAACGATTTTGAGCCATGTCATTCAGGGTCTCTAACCATCGATTACTAACATCTTGCGGATCCCAACCAGGTAGTCGACACCTAACGACATGACTCAGTCCACTTGTAAATGACCTCATGGATTTCGACCATGTTTTGGTCTGACCGCCTGGCATGGTAGAACCTACAGGAACATATGTTCCAGCCAATATAGCTCGGTTCGATTATCACAATAGGCAACCCAACCACCACGTCAAGGTAGCATCTAAGGTCGGGGTACAAGTTAACTGATCACATATAAAGTCAAGATATCTTGCTATAGATGTTGTAGGCGTTATCTTGTAGAATTAAATGGCTTTGTTTAAATTATGAAAACAATACACTTCCAAAGTCATTTTAACTAAATAAGAGATGGTTATCATCTCTAACAGTGGCAACTGATATGCTTTAATAAAATCTAAACTTAATCGAACTCAATGTTGTATATAAGCCTTTACAACTGACTGATTCAACAGTGTAAAAGAAATCTCCATTACCTATTAATACTGACTAAATATCTATAGAGCAGTTTATAAGAAAATGTTCCTACCTTCTGAGTGTCAGTCAAGTAGAATTAAATGAAATAATGTATAACAACACTGACAAATTATTGCGAAATTATTTAAATCAAATTTCACTATGTAGGGCATAATAACGCGGAAACAACGTACAGATTTATGTAGTGGGATGTACGCCACTAAAGATTATGAAGTGGTTAAAACCCTAGGATTCGAGGAATGTGGAAAATGAATGTATCTGAGTTACTGTCCAGATTTCGAACTATTTCATTCAGGGTCTCCAACCATTAACCACTATTATTGTAAGGACTACAACCAGATAACATACACATACTGATATAGCTCAGACTAACAGTCAGCAACTTTATGGACGAATGCCACATCTTGATTTGGTAGCTCTTAACTTTTCTATCATATACTTTTACTTCAGTTATAACAGCGTCAAGGTAGGTGATCGTAAGATGTATCACATGTTGCCGTAAACCACTCCTATCGAGTTAGAAAGAATGGTTAAAGCACCCAACTTTCAAACACAGTAACGAACTAGGACCTTATTCTATCTATTGTTTGAAAAACGGGAAAATATATCAACCCTTGAGCCAGTTGAACAAAGAAACAACTGGAGGAAAAAAATGGATGAAACGGTTTTAAACATTCCAACTACTGAGTAATAAATATCTTGTATATACTACACTGACCTTATCTCTCAACAAAGCGGCAGCTTTACTATTATACTTTTCTTGAAAACTCCACTGCGGTCTGTAATCAGGTTGGGAGACGAAAAACTCCTTAGCATGCCTATTGCCTCCAACTTTCATTTTTTCCAATTCCAGTTCCTTCCATTTATCCATATTAACTGAGCGAACAAAACTGATTAAAAGTAAGACATTAAAAAAAATAAATTAAAGAAGACTTAACATGTTAAATAAAGACTTCAGAAACGCTTTTCCATTATAAAGTTACATACTATTTTCTATGACCTTAGATGCTACCTTGACGTGGTGGTTGGGTTGCCTGTTGTGATAATCTAACCGAGCTATATTGGCTGGAACATATGTTCCTGTAGGTTCTACCATGCCAGGAAGGTCGATTGGAGAACGATGAGACTAAAAGCAGCTAGTCAAGGTCTGAGGGTGAAGTCGTACTGCTGACTGTAGAGCGACGTGACGGCAGTAAGGCGTTTCCCTCGAACAACCAGCATCTGCGGTGATGCCTTCTCACAACGAACGAAGGAGTTAGGGAAGGTCGACCTCGACCCTAAAAATGTCAAACCTAACATTATTTTATGGATCTCCGTCTCCGGAGGTAAGGTAACTTGAAGAGCGCGGCCAACACTTTACAAACTTCTCATAAAAAGGACGTGCGTGTCCGGCGTCAAGCAGTTCTCCCTTGAGCACTGTGGTCACGACCCCCAGGTCTCTCAGATTAACGCTGTCAGTCAGTCAGTCAGATGCAACGTAGAACTTTGTACATAAGTACATCAGTTCATGTTGCCATACCACATCAGCACAGAGAAGTAATCGTCAATTCAAATCCAATAGTAGAAGAGGTAGTAAGGGAATTAGAAATAATCGGAGAGGTTAGGATTAGAAGATACTACTCAAGAAGTATGATTCAGTGAGAAAAGTTTAGAGAGTCGAAACTAGAGGGGTTGAAGAATCCAGAAGATTAGCATTTGAGAGAACACAGAGAATAAATGCACTGGCTGATCCTTTTCAGGTTCCTCAAGAAACACGCTTCCACGGTGTGGGCAGCCGGGAGGTGACATCCGCCCTCAGACTAATAACAGCACACGAAACCAAATCGGTCACAATCAAATCCTTTCTATACCTCTTAATAACCCTCTTACCTCCATGACCAAACCTCACATTCCTTTATCACGTCACCACTGATAAAAACGACTTGAGTACAACCACGCTTCGAACTAAATGTTGGAGCTTTTAATGTCCGAACCTTGTGCCAAGTAGGACAACAGGTTTCCTTAGCAACTATTCTAGAATCTAGCAAGGAAACTTCTCAAGGTTTCACTCAGTAATAGCAAAGCCAGGAATATATTTCAGGAACAACTAGAAAAACAGTTAGGCACCCATGTCGTAAGTGATGTCCACCACGTTGCAGCTTGGGACGATACCCAAAAGGCTGTGGAATTAGCAGTGATATCTGCCAGTAAGGCAAACCACAAGGCTAAGAAAAAGCAGTGGATTTCAGTAGCATCTACTGTACTGATAGATGCCAGGAAACTTATTCCATCTGGCTTTGAACATGACGAGAAGCGGAGTCAGCTTAAGCGCAGGATCGTGAGATTTTGTGGCAGTGTCTGTCACTAGAAGGTGTACAAGAGAAGTACATTAACCTTATACAAGCTCTTTACTTGAACACCATGGGTCGGGTGAGAGCTTATGGCGAACTGTCTTCGGAATTCTTTACTTCAAGTGGTGTCCATTAGGGATGTCCACTCTGCATTCTTGTTCAATTTTGTCATGCTGCTAGATATAACATTATGTTCATCTGAATTTTCAGGAGTAGAATTTCTATCAGGAAAATCGCTTGCTGACTTAGAATATGCCGATGACATAGTTCTATTTGGTGAAGACGCTGACAAAACGCAGTCTTCTGACTACCCTGAGCAGTAATGCAAGTAAGTTCGGGATGCGGTTCTCACCCTCGAAATGCAAAATGTTACCGATGGCCTGGTAACGGACGAAATCTCAGCACGGATAAAGAAGGCTCAATTGGCTTTTGAGAACCTGCGTCAGGGTAGGAGATATTCCAAGGTTGTTGGTTTTCGATCATAGGTGTCTCCGACGTACTGTTCGTGTATCGTGGGACAACCGAGTAGGCAATGCTTTAGTTAGGAAACGAGTACTAGGTAGGGATGGCAGATTAGTAGATGAAGTATTGAAATTCCATCAGTTGATGTGGTTGGGACATGTGTACCCACTGACTGCCTTGACGAGCAATGTTTTGTGATGTAAGAGTAGGTTGGAGGGAAGCTAGGGGCGGCCAAACGAAAACATGGCACAAATCCATGAATTCACTGACGAGTGGACTGAATTGTGTTAGTACGTATAGACTACCTTGTTGGGGTCCGCGAGACGATAGTAACTGATGGTTAGAGACCTTCAAAGACGTGGCTCAAAATCTTTAGCAATGGTGCAGGTGCATCCATTCTTTGTCCCCTCAAATTCTAATCTAAACTCGTCATGACTTTCATGTTTCACACCTCTAATATATTTCATTGGATTATATTTCTTGAATAATATCTTCGGACTGTGATCTTTCCGATTACTGCTCATAGGTCGACATAGCTGTACCACTACGGGACTTGAATCGACAACTGTATCTCTGTGCTGACGCGGTATGGCAACTGGAACTGATGTACGTGCATACGAAGTCCTTCGTTGTTGCTGACAACAGACTATTTTCTACGAGTTTTTTCAATGTTGCAGGATAGCCACACCATAACTGACTTAAAAATGTATCTTGAATAAATTCGCCAGCAGAGGTCTGGTAACGACAATAACTACTGTAAAAGAGTATGCGAAACCATTCTATGAATTCAACACCGAGATAGTTAACTAGGATTCCCAAATGGATGATGATAGTGAACCAAACAAATTTTAGAATAACCGAAAATTAATTATCATAAAGTGACTTACCTTAAATGAACGCCCAATCCACGGTGTTTTCCCGAACATTCTAAACAAATCCATATGCCATATGTAACGCTAGCCCACTGAGGATTTGGCGACCCACATTCGAAACACAACTACAAAGAAAAATAAATGCCAAATACAAAATGTCAGTGATTCGACAGGATGTATTTCAAAGCGATGACTGTTCTGCTAAAACTGTGTTGAGTACTCATTTTTTAGATAGGTAATGCAAGCAACACAACGGTGAAATTAGAAAGTATATATTTATATTTGGACGTAATGCTGATAAGCGCAAGTCGGGAACCTAACAGCGAGGCTAAACACGAACGTCTCTAAATGATCCATACAGAAATATGATAGCTTATGCGACTATGACTCTATGAGCACAAAGTAAGTAACAACAAGTCAGATTAGTAAAGCGTGTTTCCGAGTAAGATTTCAAAATCAACGAGACCTCATGATTGTAATATTATTACAAAACACTTTGCAGATAAGACTTTTTTTACTTGATCCACTTCCTGGAAAGAAAGTGATTTCTAGAAGCATCAATAAAACAAATAGTTTTCGGCTAAGTTATAGCCTCGATTATGCCATAAAATCTAGGCAGCATTAGAAGAATAATAATAGTCCGGAAACACGGTATTCTGATTGGAAATACATATTTATTCTACAACGAATATTTTGAGTAGTCTAAGTTACAAAAAATAACTCCGGGAAAACTGAATTAAACATTGTTCACAATATTTGATATGATTGGACACGAAACCGGAACAATGAAACAAGTAGAAAAGAAGTAAAAACACAACCATAAATCAACAAAAAAGGAAATAATTCAATACATGGTTCGCATTTGCTTTCTTGACATCCATTAGCACTCGCCGTGTCCTTGGGCTAGCCATCGCAAATTTCTGAAAACGTATAGCACGCTCAACAAGAGCGCGCTTTTTTAGAAGGCTAAAGACTTCACAATATCTAACATCAACTATCTTTATCAAGGGTTAGTATAAACCACTTGATTTCTTCACTCCCGATTCTTGTTCTTTACAGGCAGTTCCAGGTATCTGTTGGTATCTAATCGGGGTAATTCAAGCCACTCGACTGCATTAGTTCTAGTCAGTTAACCAACAATCATAACAACCAGCAAGTTTCGAGACATGCATCAGGCACTGCTAGTCAACGAGGGATATGATAATCCGTTTGTGAGTAAGTGTATATCAAACCTATTCTTAAGGCTGTCCACTGAGAAGGCTGTGGTCACCTCGGCTGGGAGAGCATCCCAAGTTACGACAACTGATGGGAAAGTGTGCACGAACCTGAGTATTTGCTTTTTCGTGTGCAATCTTTTGAGGATTACCTCAAGGAGCATGGTAGTGATCGTTTGGCAACATGCTTATATTGGGATGATTCGGTGTTCTTATCTATGTTGTATGTCATTATCAGACCACCTCTGATTCTTCAATAATCCAGAGAGGATAATCCCAAGTTCTGCAGTCTATCTACGTAAGGTTTGTTCTTCAATCATATCACCCATTTAGTTGCTCGTCTCTGCACTCAATCCAGGAGATTTATGTCTCTTTCGAGCAAAGGGGGTGCGATGACGTTGTGAACCTCCAGGTTTGGGGGCGTGCAGATGTAAATAACGTTAAGAATGATTGTGGGGTGATAAAAGCAAGTTGTCTTCACATCAAGTGAAGATTTGGAATGGAATCATGGAATAGCCATGTTTCAGTTAAGATTAGAGTCTTCAGATCCATCTGAAAGCACATATTCCTGATCTCCTCAAGCTTACCCGCCGGTCCACTTACGTCGCTGCAGAGGTCCTCGGTGGTTTGTCTGATTACCTGGTGCACCACTGCTGCAAGAACCCTTGTCGGATTTACAAGCAAGTTGTTCAAACTGAGTTGGCCAGTTCTAGGGGAACTAGTTGCTGCATGTTTTTTGCTTTTTTAGTGTTTGCAGTAGGACAGACTATGATCTTCGTTTCTTGTGCTGTGGGTTGTCGATCGACGTCGACTGACATTGTTGTGTGTGCCTGTCTTCGCCACCCTGATGTTGTCTCACTGATCTAGACTCGTCTCACATCATCTAGTGTGACTAGAGAGATAGTTCTTCGGTTATGTCTTCTCGGTTTCTGAAGTTCACAGCCATCAGACGTAGAGGCTTAATAGTCGTGAGGTATGACGGACAAGGCAGCTGAGGGACGCGACATGCCGTGGTGGCATCCAGACTCATGCTACGTGATAACCTAGGTCATAGCTGCACATTCTGTACGTGAGCTTCATTCAAGCTACCACTAACCAGTCCAAGCACTCCGTGAAGCGCAATACTGGTCTGCTCTCAGGTGCCTTTTAATGTCCTGGCAGGTGCTAGTACTGACCACGATTTGTCGTACCTGACTCGGATCAAAGAGAACAGTCTGACCGAGGGTCGCCGAGATGTCAGGAGGATTTCCCCGGCAGCTTGTGACATGTCTTAAGCGTTTCTTTTAAGCGACGTTCTGGCCCTTGAACAGACAGAATAGTTTGGCCGGGGTACGGCTCATTCCAAGCATTGAGCAGTATTTATCCTACTGGTCATTATCAAAGACGATACTAATTTGCAATAAGATACCCTGGGATATGAAGACATCATGAGACGACATGGACTGGGAGAAGGGAACGAAAATGGTGGGAAATTTGCAAACCCATGTGCCTTCAATAAACTGGTCATTGTTGGCACAATATTCCCATACAAACGCATACACAAAGCTAGATGGATTTCACCGGATCACACAACACAGGTACATGGAATATTCATACACTGTGGGAGACCGGAACACTACTTCAAGTAGCTACACAAATGAAAATATACAACCTGGAGTTGCTTGGAATCAGTGAAACGCATTGGACGCAGGTTGAATAACGAAGACTAGCTTCAGGAGAGCTGCTGTTATACTCCAGCCCTGGAGAAGAAAATGCCTCACACGCACAAAGTGTTGCACTAATGCTGTCCGAACAATCACAAATGGCATTTATAGGGTGGGGATCTCATGGACCCAGGATCATTAAAGCATCCTTCAAAACAAAGATAGAAGGCATTACAATCAGCGTCATCCACTGCTATCCACCTACCAACGACTGCAATAAAGTTGTTGAAAATCAATTCTACGAGAGGCTGCAGTCAATCGTCGATAGATGCTCATCAAAGGATGTTGACAGTCTGATGGAAGACCTAAGTTTAAAGGTTGGCATGGATAACACTGGATATGAAGACATCATGAGACGACATGGACTGGGAGAAGGGAACGAAAATGGTGGGAAATTTGCAAACCCATGTGCCTTCAATAAACTGGTCATTGTTGGCACAATATTCCCATACAAACGCATACACAAAGCTAGATGGATTTCACCGGATCACACAACACAGCACTAAAACAACCATGTCTGTGTCAACAAAGGGTTCTGAGGGACCATGGAGGACGTGAGAACTGAGAGTGGAGTTGACGTAGCCTCAGATCACCACTTGCTGGTAGCCAAAATGAAACTGAGACTAAAGAAGCACTGGAAAACGGGACAGACAACATCACACAAGTTTAATACGGCCTTTCTTTGTAATACCGTAAAACTCAACGAATTTCAGACAGCCCTCAGCATTAGGTTGCAGGTCTTGCGCAATCTACTCAATGGAGAGGAAACGACCTTGAAGAACAATGGGAAAGGGATCAAGGAGGCAATCACTTCAATATGTCAGGAGGTTCTGGGCCACAAGAACCACCATCACAAGGAATGGATCTCTATTGGTACTCCTGAAAAAATTTGAGGAGAAACAAGAGGGCATCAATCAACCACAGCCGAACAAGAGCAGAGAAATTAAAGGCACAAGCTGAATACACAGAAACAAACAGGAAAGTGAAGAAGAGCATCAGAGCCGGCAAACGAAATTATTTGGATGGTCTAGCAATGACAGCTGCAAGAGAGGGAAATTTAAGACGATTGTACAATAGAACAAAGAAGCTCTCTGGAAACCATTGTAAACCAGAATGACCAGTGCAAAGCAAGTCAGAAAAAAATCACCAACATTGAAGAACAACGAAACAGTTGTGTACAGCACCTAAAGGAACTCTTGAGTCGACCAGCCCCATTGAACCCACCCAACATCGAAGCACATTCAACGGACCTCCGAACTGATGTTAGCCCACTAACAATTGGAGAGATCAGTATCGCCATTAGACAAATCAAGAACGGCAAAGCAGCAGGGCAGGACAACATTACAGCAGAGGCAATTAAAGCCGACATATCAGCAACTGAGAAAATACTCCACATTTTCTTGATCAAGGTTTGAGATGAAGAACAAGTACCGACAGATTGGAAGGAAGGATACCTGATCGAAATACCAAGGAAAGGCGATAACAGCAGGTGTGAGAACTACTGAGACATCACTCTCCTCTCAATACCAGGCAAAGTCTACAAACAGGCTGTAGTTAAACAGAATGAAGGACTTCGTGGACGCCCAAATTTGAGATCAACAGGCTGAATCTCTTAAGGATCGATCCTGTACCGACCAAATTGCAGCATTACGGATCATTGTGGAACAATCAATTGAATGAAACTCACCACTGTACATCAACTTCATCGACTACGAGAAAGCATTCGACAACGTGGACATTAAAACACTATGGAGGTTTCATCGATAGTACGTCGTGCCCAAGAAGATAGTCCACATCATACGCAATTCGTATGATGGATTAAACTGCGAAATTGTGCACGGAGGACAGCTCATAGACACGTTTGAGGTGAAGACCGGTGTCAGACAAGGTTGCTTACTCTCACTTCTTATATTTCTTCCGGTGATCGACTTATGAAGACGTCAACATCTGGAGGAAAGCACGGTATCTATTGTACAGCCTGGATGCAGATGGATGATCTGGACTTCGCAGATGACCTGGCTCTTCTATCGCACACGCAACAACAAATGCAAGGGAAGACGACCAGTGTAGAAGCAGTAGGTTTCAACAAACATAAAGGAAAAAGCAAAATTCTCCCATACAACACAACAGGCACTAACTAAACCACACTCGATGGAGATAACTTGGCGGATGTTAAAACCTTTATCTATCTGGGCAGCATCATTGATGAGCAAGGTGGATATGATCGGTAAAGCAAAGGCTGCATTTCTACAATTGAACAACATCTGGAACTCAATACAACTACCAATTTTCGATAAAAATGTCATAACATTTCTACTGTATAGGATGAAAACTTGGAAAACTACCAAAGCCATCATCTGGAAAATACTAGTATTTATTAACAGTTGCCTACGCAAAATACTTCGGATCCGTTGGTCAGACACCATTAGCCATAACCTACTGTAGGAAAGAACAAACCAGACTCAAGTGGAGGAGGAAATCAGGAAGAAGCGCTAGAAGTGGACAGGACACACATTGCGGAAAGCACCCAACTGGGTCACAAGTCGAACCCTTCGCCTGGAATCCTCAAAGTCAAAGGAAAAGAGGACGGCCGAGGAACACATTACGCCGAGAAACAGGGACATGTGTGAGAAGAATGAATAAAAATTGGAAAGGGGAGCCCTGGACAGAGTAGGTCAGAGAATACTAGTAGGCGATCTATGCCCCACTGCGGGTAACAGGCTTAAGTAAGCAAGTAAGTGGTGGAGGTGTTTTGGGACGAGTGACCCGACTTATGCATATAACTTCGTAGTTCACTATCGAGTAACGTTTTGAGCTTTCCTGAATTTTGGTTGCTGGAGACCGAGGTTTTTGTTTCACTACCGAACTCGGAATTCAAAACCACACTGGTTTTCCTAGTTGTTATAGTGTTAGAAATGGTGACAAAGCTATTACTGTGCATGTTACTGGATAGGTTTAAGAACGAACAACGAGATAATTTAAGGATAAAAATACATGAGATGTAAATTTGGGGAAGGAAATATATTAATATTAGACAGAGTGAATGTATACTATGCAAGAATAGAATCTGAAAGACACCCAAACTTGCAACGTTACCTATTAAGCAACTTCGCATGAACCCAGTAACTCTTCCACAATTCCTGTTTTGTGATTGAATCAATGCGCATTTACTTTCGAAGCAA